CCCATTAGGTTCCCGACCACGATGCCTAACGACGTAAAATATTATTTTGATCTAATCAAAACTGATAAATTAAACACTCTTTTAATTTATCACAGATTCGCACTCGTCGTCCCAGATTGACATCTGGTAATGTATCAGGGCAACATATGTGACGGAAAATGTCACGTGGTATGAGAAAACCAAAACTGTTCGTTTACCATGAAATTATAATCTTTTCGTCAATATGATCCGATCAATTACGAGATATGAAAGTGTATCAATCTCGATTATCGATCATATCTTTCACTCTACCATTAAGTCAATATGAGTCGAACACTCCTTTTCGACTTATGAGTATACCTTGGCCAAGAATTTCGTTATCGACTTAATTGAATGAAATGCAGATCACAATCTCTTACTATCTAAAAGTAATGAATTCTCTATCGCTCATTCACAACCTTCATATGGTTCTTGACATACCCAAGTGATGTCATATTAGCGGCCCTTGGCAGAGCAACATTCAACATCGTCAAAGCATGACTGTCCTCATATAAGGTACTATGATGACCTCAAATCAAAGGACCAATTCCACTACCGAACATTAGAGATCAACCACTGACACTCAGATAATTATCCATGTGAAATCTCTTAGCCGGTCTCCAATGTTTCGTTCTATAACAAAGCATCCACGTATTCATTTAAGTATCACCACACTTTTGCTTGTGAGATTGGCTACTTACTTCACAAGTAAGAAATGCCACAAGTGATAGTCTATCCGTAATAACGATATACGTATCTCTTTATTGCTTACGTCCATGGATTGTTCAAGATCCAATCATATGTAATTTGCATATCACAATCACAGCTCCTTGTAATTAACAAATCACTTAAACTTGAATTTTCGAACTCTATTATTTAATATTATTTATCAAAATATTAATTTAAATAAATAATAGATCTTGTCAAAAATAAATGCATTAAACATATTAAAAGTGTTTACAACCTAAATCGATTGGGTTTAGGACATAACACTTACATCTCTTTTGCTCCTTGGACTCTCCTTTACTCTACTATGGGCCAATTTTGCCCTTGGCCTTCCTTGAATCGTTGATCAACATTTGGATTATGCAAGTCCTCTATGAAAATTATTATTTTGACCCTAGAATCACCTAGAGGGGACGATT